TAATTTCTGAGAACATTGAGGGAGTGACACAGATCATGATGCATTGTATTCATAAACTGCTTTGTTATAAGGCACTTTCTTTGTACAACTACTTCAAGATAATTTTTTAAAAAAATTTTAAAGACCCTGCTTGACAATTTTAGTTTTTTTTATATAAATAAGTAACTATGTATTCCTGTACCCTTGAATTTTTTAAAAAATTGAACACAGTCTATTAAGACATTTGACAGCTGATATACTAAAAACTTCCAAGATGTAATTTATTGTCACCTGAGTAATTGTGCTTTCGTAAGTGAATAAGCTACTTTATATATAACATGGTGGTAAAATACATTCCAGAATTAAACACAGATAGTTCCCAACTTCATGAACTTTCAGCTTTACAAAAAAATGGTGCAAATGCCATATACATTTAGCAGTAACTGCTTCAAATAGAAGTTTGATCTTCTGGGCTTGTGATACATAGTACAGTACTTTCCCTGATGGGCAGTGACCGTAAGTTGCGCCTTCCAGCTAGCCATGGATTGTGATGATCAGTAGATTAACTAAATCCATTTGTTATATCAGATTTGTAATTAACATTTTATGATACACCTTTTTATTTTAAACCTAGATATGAACACTTTTCATCATGTCTTAATCAAGTATTAGGTCTTCTTAATGGAAAAGATCCTGATTCTTCTTCGAAGGTATGTAAAACTATGATAAGTTATTTTACAATCTTAAAAAACTAGTGTGCAGAAAAGTTTTTTAACTGCACTACTCTCTGAATATTACAAACCAAACACAGTTGTATGACCTATATTGAGATTAGAATCCTCTACATCCCTACTGATGCTTCCTTTTAATCAACACCTACTCTTTTCTGACCTCTTCTATTGCAAAGATAAATGCTATGCTGATTTCTAACAACATGTAGCTTTGTTCTAAGTCTAAGTTTTGGTAAGTGAAATCATATGTAATCTTTTGGGCGTCTTAAAAACAAAATGCTTTTTCAACATTAGGATGTGAAATTCACCTGTGTTTATATAACTTTTAGATCTTTTGTTTATGAATATTGGCTATTAAGAATACTTATATTTTTCTACTTGCCTTGGTAAGCTTATGAATATTTTGTTTTACCTGTGTAGCTAGGATTGCAATTGCTGACTTACATGATCTACATCTCTTCATTAGCTATTATGAAACAGCTTACCAAAGGTCATATTTGCATATGAAGGCTTGGTTATTGTGCATCCTTGTCAGTATTGGGTATTTCCAGATTATTTAGTCATTCCAATGTTTAAAATTAGTATTGCATTACAGCTAAAGTTTACATTTCCTTAACTATAAACTAATGGTTCATACTTTTTCACATTCATTAACTGTTTTGCGTCTGAAATATTTAGGAGTATTTTTGATAGACTTTTATAGATATTTAAATAAATAAATATTTGAGTTATATATGTTACATAGTTCATTATATTTTGTGCAATTATCTTCTGAGTTGCCTTTATTACTCATTTAATGTTGTCTTGATTTTAATAGAGCTTAATGCCTGTTTTAATAATACTTTTTTATTGTTTTATTTTTGGTAGTATTGAGGTTTAGAGTCAGGGCCTTGAGTCAGAATGATCCTAGATTTAATTTATCCTTTTTGTGGCTGATTTAAGAAATCTAGATGTACTCCAAAGCCAAAAAAATGAGCTTCTATGTTTATGGTAACTTTTCTATGTAGAACTACAATCCATCTAGAATTCAGTTTATGTCTGATATGAAGTCGGACTGTTGTTTCAGGCTAAACTTTTATCTGACAATATTTACAGAAGGGAAAAAAATTAGAAATTTTAGAATAGTTGTGAATTATCAGAAACAGTGAGTCTGGCTGCTGTAGAGGATTTAAAATAGTACAAAGTTGGCAGTGTTTCACTTTTGTGTGTATGTTTTTATATCTTTGCTCTTGCTCATTTATTGTTTGCCAAGAGTTCTTTCTGGATTATTTTCATTAAATGAAGTACTCAGATGATATGTCTTGGATATTTTGAACTCCAGGACCTAAAATTAAAATGAGAATTATTCCTAATCTAAATTAAGTTTGATAGAATACTGTAAATTTATACTTAATGATAAGTAAGGATTCTTGGAATTGAAGAAATATAGCAGAAGCTAATTAATCTAAAGGAAGTAAACTATATCAGAAAATTAGGAGATTGATTAGAACATGAAATAGAAACTTTACAGAGGTGTTAGAAAGCCTGAAAGAGAATGAAGACGTAAGAGTAATTAAAAAAAAAATCTTACTATGATAGAAGTAGAGAATAGTAGAAGCAGTAATCCAGTAGTTGGCTCATTTACTTTTTATATAATAGTTGACATAAATGTTTAATTTTAATGTCAGTATAACCTTGGTTGACAAGATTAGTGTGAAAAAATATTATATCAACATAATTCATAGTAATTTATAATTACATAAAAAATCAAAATCCTAAACTAATATGTTAGTAAATCCAGTGATATTTAAGAGAATTACATTCATTTGCTAAATAGATTTAATCCAAGAATACAAAGGTGTTCTAACATGATAAAATTTAAAGGTGTGTTAACATGATAAAATTTAATATTTATTCAAGGTAAAGATTGACTAGGAAAAACCAGACCTTTTTTTCACTGGTCAAATAACTACTAAAAAATCTACTGCATTCTTATTATTCTTGGCAAATTAGGAGAACTTATCTTCAGATTAAGTATAAGACAGAATAGACATGATCGCCATTTGTGTTTGTATTTATGGTGTCAGCCAACCTAGTAAGACAAGAAAAGTGAAATATACAAGAATTAGGAAAGAAGATGTAAAAGTCACTATTCAGAGAGCATTGTGAGTATAAAATATATAAAATCTGTAGAAACTTGTTAATTTAACAACTGGCTGACTATAAGATCAGTATGTATAATTATATTTTATTTATAATTTTAGGACCACTAAATAGATCAATTTGTATTTTATTGATGTCATTTAACTGATTTTTTTTTTTAAGTCAAGAGGTTAGGGGAGAAATCCAACAGAACATATATAAAGCCTCCATTGTGAAACTGTAAAACATTGAGAGAACCAGAAAATCCTTTAAGTATGTGCAGATATTTATATCTGCATATATATATATATATACATATATATATATATATGGAAGATTTACAATATTTAGTCAATCAAAATTCAGCAAATTTTATTTTGTTCGTTTTTGGTTGGGTTTGGCTTAGTCTTTGTCTATATGTCTGTTTGATTTTCAATGCAGGGCCTCATGCATAGTGAGAAACCACTTTACCCTTGTACTCAATCTACCCAACTCCACTTTTATTTCTTATTTTATAGTATGCTTTATGTTAATTTTTCACTTTAGGATATGGCATGTATTCGAAGTCCTAAATTAATTTTTAGATACCTTTTCATTTTAAAAACAATGTGTTTTTTAATTACTACAAAAGAAAATTAGTAGTTAAAATGTACAACATTTTTAGATTTATCATTTGTATATTAATGTCTAGTAAAATTTGATTTAATGATAACTTTATGTTGTACAGGTTTTAGAGTTACTTCTTGCCTTCTGTTCAGTAACTCAGCTGCGTCATGTTCTAAGTCAGATTATGTTTGAACAATCTTCCTCTGGCAACAGCATTGTGGGAAGCCGTTCTAAGTCCTTAGAACCTACTGTGGCTCTTCTTCGTTGGTTAAGCCAACCCTTGGATGGGTCAGAAAACTGTTCTGTCTTAACACTGGAGTTGTTCAAGGAACTATTTGAGGTAATAGGATAGTAGAAAATTGACTCTTCTACTTTTACAACTCTTAAGTTAACAGTTTTCATAAAAAGCTTGTTTTATGTTTTTAAAAACACCCATAATAAATTTCCAATTCTTGGGCTGGGAAGTTGGCTCAGTGGTAGAGTGCTTGCCTTGCATGCCTGAGGCCATGGGTTCGATTCCTCAGCACCACATAAGCAAAAAAGAAAAAACCCAGAAGTGGCGCTGTGACTCAAGTGGTAGAGCGCTAGCCTTGAGCTGAAGAGCTGAGGGACAGTGCCCAGGCCCAGAGTTCAGGTCCCATGACTGGACCCAAAAAAAAAAATTCCAATTCTTCATACAAAGGAAAATTGCTCATATTAACAGTTGAACTCAACTGTCATTTAGCTACCGCTAAAATCATATATGTTAGTGTTTCCCCTTATTTTGTTGTATAGCTTATATATATTGGTTTCTGGATAGTTAAAAAAAAAAAAAAAGGTCTTGACAGTATATGTATTGTATGATTATTCTTGCAGTAGTCATATTCCATCTCTGTCTCGATAAATGTTGTCTTCTTTTTATTAGCTGTTAAATAGGTTAAGATAAAATGTTGGAATTAAGGGCTAGGAAGTTGGCTCAGTGGTAGAGTGCTTGCCTCACATGCATGAAACCCTAGGTTCCATTCCTCAGCACCACATAAGCAGAAAAAACCGGAAGTGACACTGTGGCTCAAGTGGTAGGGTGCTAGCCTTGAGCTGAAGAGCTGAGGAACAGTACCCAGGCCCAGAGTTCAAGCCCCACGACCGACAAAAAAAAAGTTGGAATTAGTAAATGGGGAGGAACAGACAATGTACTAGGCCCGGATGAGAAATAACCACAGTCTAAAGGATTCTGCCATTTGGGCAATTTTTTACTTGTTTAGCCTACCCATGTCTTCCCTAAAATTATTGTATTATTAAATTTCACTGAAATTATTTACAATAATGTTTAAATAACCGTTTTTAAGTATTTCTGCCATTTCCTTCTCTAGGATGTTATAGATACTGCTAACTGTTCTTTGGCTGACCATTTTGTGACCCTACTGCTACCTGCAGTCCTGGATCAACTTCAGTTCACAGAACAAAGTCTGGATGAGGCCTTAATAAGAAAAAAATGTGAACGGATGATCAAGGCTATTGAAGTTTTATTAAATATCCTTTCCTCTCATAAAAATGGAAGCTATACTTCTTCCTTAGTATTGCATTTTATTTCCAATCTTGCCACTTCTCTGTATTTCATATATGTCCAGAAATATTGAACTGAAATTTGAAAATCTCAATGAAGAGTTCAAAAAGTTAACTAGTTTTCAGTGTAAAACTTTAAGCTACATTTTAAGAATTTATTTGTTTGTTTTTGTTTTGTTTATTTTGTCCTTATGATTCAGGAAGCAAGTTCAGGGCTAACACAGCAATCACTAAACCACTGAGAATCTCCCCCACATAAGAAAAGCTTTTTAAACGTGATTTCAACATTTTTGTCAGTTTGAGAGTTAGAGACATCTAAAATGCCTCTTGTATTATCCTTAGTAATCTTAACCACTGTATGATTTGTCCTTCCTGTTTTAGGTAGAGTAAATCAGTGAATAAAAATTATTTTTAGATTTGTCATGATTTTATCTATTTTCTACCTCATGTTTTAAAAATAAAATCCTCATGAATATTCTAATAGAGAGGAAATAATGTCATAGTTGATTATAGGAAAGACGAGTATATCAACACAAAAAAACTTCAAGTGCAGTTAGTTTCACAGCCTCTGTACCCTGATTGATTCTCAGTTCTTTCATGTATTTGCTTTTTCTAGATTACTAATTCCAAGTTGTGGAGATGTCTAAGTTCCAATTTTTAAATATTTCTAGAAATTTTCATCCCTATCCCATTGTGGGCAAGAAACGATACCATATTGAGATTTCTTAAATTTACCTGGTCACCTTTCCTTGTATCTCAGAGAAACAAAAAGAGGGGTGGGGGGGCAAACTATTTTTTTACTCTCTTCTTAGTGTCTCTTTTCCATCTCATTGTCCTTTACAGCACTCTTAATCCTGGCTTCAGATTAGAATCACCTGGGGAATGAATAAAACAAGATAGACACCAGAATCTTGCACAAATTCTAAAGTGATTGGAGCATTTTAAAACCAGAATATTTTTGGAGTGTTTGTGGTGGTGGTGGTTGTGGGGGGGGGGGGGGGCGGTTGGTGGGGGGAGAGAGTGGGTGTGAATGAATACGATTAATCTACACAAATGATTCTAGCATGTGTGTATGAGTGAGTGAATATGATTAATCTACATAGATGAATTCTAACATGCAGCCAAAGTTGAGAACCATTGTTTTACAGACATAGAATTTTTCTGCTTGACCTTAGTCAGGTCGTTGATCATTGATGGCATCAATACTGGGTTTGAATTCAGATCCTTGCTCTTAATAAGCAGTTGTTCTTACTACAGAGGTACATCTACAGCCCTAATTTTTGCTTATTATTTTTGAGATAGGTCCTGTTTTGGACTTTGCAATAGCTAGGCTAAAAGGTACATGCCACCACTTTACCTAGGCTGGCTCATACCTTAGCCCCAATAAATAACCCCCCAAGTACCTAGATTATAGTTGTGGACCACTGGTAACTGGCCTAACTTGACCCGTTTTTAACGATAGATACTCATAATGATATATAATTAATAAAATTTTAGGGAATTCCCTGATTGCAACAAATATTTATTGAAAAGTATGAGTGCTAACAAAAATGGAACATCCAGTGGTCTTTTCTGGGTGTGTGGTATGAGACCGTTTCTTGACATTCATCACTGATAATCCTCCATTCCCAGTGTTATAACCTCCCATTCAATAAATATAATTATACTGGATTACAATTACAATGTTGAGTTGACTTGTATGAAATTACCCTGAATGTTTAAACTATTACCAAACATAAATTATTTGGAAAATCTTTTTATTTGTAAGTGTAAATCTTAACAAAGCTTACCTCTATGTGGAGATGATACTCTGAAAATGCGTATTGCAGAAACTCTGACTGCTATAAAGTGTACCACTCTGATAGAACAACAATTTACATACGGCAAGATTGACCTGGGATTTGGAACCAAAGTAGCAGATTCTGAATTATGGTGAGTATTCAAAATCTAACTTACAAAGTTATTAAATGAAGTAAAAATTTTTAAATGTAGTTCTCATCTTTTAAGATACCATTCTTTAGTTATGTTCTAGCAGCTCAAAATATAGCCAAGAATTAAACATTGTATGTAATGAATTTTTAAATTAAAAATTATTCAATGTATAGATTGTACACTTCTGAAGAAAGGCTTTAACTCATCTGTTTTATTGTTTGGAATTTTTTGTGTGGCTGTATGTGACTGTGTGTGTGTGTGTGTGTGTGTGTGTGTGTGTGTGTGTGTGTGTGTGTGTGTGTGTGTGATTTGATCTCTAAATTTTTTTTTCCTGGAATTTGCTTTTTTTATTTGTTTTGTTTCGTTTTTTGGCCATTTTTTGGGCTTGAACTCAGGGACAGGGTACTGTTCCTGAGCCTCTTTGTGTTCAAGACTAGTGTTCTATCATTTGAGCCACAGCACCACTTCTGACTTTTTCTCAGTAGTTTATTGAAAGTAAGAGTTTCATGGACTTTACTCCTTGGGCTGGCTTCGAACTTTGAAGATCACAGCCTCCTTTGTAGCTTGGATTATAGATATGAGCCATCAATATCCAGCTGGAACTTGTTTTTGACATTACCTCAGTAATTTAATTATTTTGTTCCTTTCACTTTCAACTTTTAAATGGAAAAAAAATGAACATTTTTATTATAAGAAAATCACTGGGGGCTGGGAAGGTGGCTCAGTGGTAGAGTGCTTGCCTTGCATGCATGAGGCCCTGGGTTCGATTCCTCAGCACCACATAAGAAAAAAGAAACAAGCCGGAAGTGGCGCTGTGGCTCAAGTGGTAGAGCGCTAGCCTTGAGCTGAAGAGCCGAGGGACAGTGCCCAGGCCCAGAGTTCAGGTCCCCAAAAAAAACTGCCAAATTTTCTTAACAGTAATTCCTTAGCATGTCAGGCATTATAAAGGTGGATTTTCATGATAGTAATGAGACATTTTTTATGCTTTTTGAATTAAGTTCATCTAATAAATATTCATTGACACCCTGCTAAGTGTTGGATACCATAATTCCTTCTCATTTCCATAGAGAATGTCATTGTTAATAATTGTGTTTCTCAAGAACAAGGGTTCTTTTTATACTCTGCTTCAGGTACAAAGCATAATATATAGCAGCATAATTCATACCCTAATTGTTATTTGTTCTTTATTGTTTAATAATATTTTGTGTTGTTAATATTTTGTTAAAACTAAGTATTAATGGATCCTTTAATACTTAGTACTCACTTCAGTACTCTTACCTACTTGTGTGTTTTCTGAGTAAAAAAAGGAGCACTAAATAAATGTTAACTGTTGCAGGAAGCCCAGTCCTGTAATCCTTAACTATTCAGGAAGTTGAGATCTGAAGATTAAGGTTTGAAACTAGCCTGGGCGGGCAAAACCTAGAGACTCTTATCTCCAATTAACTTCAAAAACTAGAACTTTGAAGTGTGGCTCAAGCAGTAGTGTCAGTCATGAAGAAATTAATCAAGCTGAGAGTTCCAGGCACAGAAACAGCACACACATGTGAAAACACACACACACACACACACACACACACAAAACCTTAGACTGTTAATGCTAGTATGTTCTCTTTAGTTTTTGTTGTTGGTGGTGGTGGTAGTGGTAGTGGTGGTCAAGGGGCTTTAACTGGGGGCCTAGGCACTACCCTCAGCTCTTCAGCTCAAGGAGAGTCCTCCGCCACTTGAGCCACAACATTACTTCCAGTTTTCTGGTGGTTAATTGGAGATAAGAGTCAAATGGCTTTCCTGCCTGTGCTGGCTTTGAACCATGATCCTCAGATCTCAGCCTCCTGAGTAGATAGGATTACAGGCGTGAGCCTCTCTTTAGTCTTGAATTCCAAGAATGTTTTTTTATTTTGGTATTTTTTTATTCTCAGCAGAAATAATTTTGTCTTCTTGAATTTTAAAACTAATTTTTTCTTTAGAATTGTAGTTAAAAATATTTTGAGTTTAATTTAAATATTATTTTTCTTAAAGCAAACTTGCTGCTGATGTAATTTTGAAAACTCTTGTTTTGATGAACAAACTTAAACAGTTGGTTCCTGGTATGGAAGTAAGCTTCTACAAAATCCTTCAAGTAAGATTTAAATTTTTATACATTGATGAGTATTCCTTTGTAAGTGGTTTCTAGGAAATTATGCTCTTATATTTTAAATATTTAGACAATGTTTCTCTTAGACTTGATCATCAGAAGACAGCTGCTACCCTTGTCTTCATTGTACTGTTATTTTACATACTGCTACAAAAACTGAATGTTAAGTATTTCTGATTCCAAGTTATAGAATGTTCATGGTAATATTGTTTCTCAGCTTTTCCTTTTCTTCTGTTGAACTTGCTGGTTTGTTAATTTTTGTTGGCTTTGGGAAGAGGGTAGTGTTTGCTTTAGAGGTGTTTTTTTTTTTTGATCGAGGTTGTTGAAATAGTGTATTAAGTATATAGAAAACATCAGGGCAAAGGACGTGATTGTGAACAACAGTGAGATTAGAGGGACTTTGCAAACATAGCTAACTCACAGATAATTGTTGGATAAGAGGTTTAGATGTTATCAAGACTAACTTGACAGGTTTAGAGATATAATTAATTTGTATTTTTTTTTGTTACCCTTTTTTATTATTATTGTTATTATCTCTGAGGTGCTGGAGCCTAGAGCATGAACCTGTGGCTTGAGCATGCTAGGCAAGTGCTCCTCTGCTGAGCTGTACCCCAACCCTTATTTACTATTCTACAATCTGGAAATTGAATATTAGCAGAGGGAGGTTGACTTTATAAACAGAAAAGAGGCTGAAGAACAAAGCAATGAAACAAAAGTCTATTGATCATTTCAGTTTGTTACTTTATAGGGCTGAAACAGAGGAGACAAATTATGCTGCTACTGTTTTTATTTTTGGAAAACAAATTGGTTATGTGATTCATAGCCAAAATAACTTGATTTGGGTTTGAACTGTTCTTCTAGGGCCTACTTCAGAATTTATTTAACAATGTTTGTTAATAGATGTAACAGGTTTTTTTAATTAAATATTTTTATGTTTGTTAATAGATGTAACAGGTTTTTTTAATTAAATATTTTTGTTGAAATACATTCATTTAATAACGTGGCACAGATGATTTTAATGAATATATTAACAAGGTAGAAGACAAAACTGAAAACCCTTAGGCAGGGGTCACATGTACAATTTGATAGTATAATATTTAAAATGGAGTTTCAAGGTTTGTGTACCAGTGAATATAAGTTTTACCTAGTTATTTCTCTTTTTGGACTTCAGTTTCACTGCAAATTGCAAATAATGATTCTCTTTTCTGAGAGGAGTTGTAAAGAAAAAGTCCTGCCAAAAATATGTTCTGGTTCTGTGTGGTGCTGAGTTATATTTGTGTGTGCACAAGAAACAACATTTTAATAATAAAGAAGTGATTATATTAACATTTTCTTCACTAAGAATATGTTTTACAAAGAATTGAGTCCAAAGGCCCCTTTATGTTCATTTATAGACCTTTTCCAAAGAAGATGATATAGATTTTATAGTGCTATGTAAAATCTTCATTGACATGGACCTATAAGTTCTTTAAAATATTTAAGATTGCCAACATAGCATAGTTGAAAATATTTAAAACCCTTATTGGATTTATTTTTAAAACTCACGCTTATAGTGATTGGATCACAGTGTATATAAGAAATAAAATGTAATGATACATTAAAACATGAGACAAGAAACATTTTAGAATTTGCTTTATCCTAGAGACTTGATACTATTTTTGCCTCTTGTTTTCTGGTTTCTGATTTGCTTAGGATCCACGTTTGATTACTCCGTTGGCTTTTGCTTTGACATCAGATAACAGAGAACAAGTACAGTCTGGATTGGGAATATTATTGGAAGCAGCTCCACTTCCAGATTTTCCTACTTTAGTGTGAGTTGCAATCACTTGAAATATATCTCTTGTACTAAGACATTGTGCTGTGTTTCTTCAGTAATCCTCAACATACCTTAGTAAATTGGTAAAGTGAAGATTTCATTTTATCAGCAAAATGAAATAAAATAGAAGTTTGATTCCTGTACCTGAAAAGGCAAGTGTTTATTACCCGAGGGTTACCTTGATCTCAAGGTAGTTAGATGTGTTATCCAGGCACTATTTTTCTCTTTCTCCTTAACCACCACTTTTTAATGTAGTAGATTTTGGACACCTAAACTTGTCTTCTACATTTAGTTCTTTCTTAGAGAGCATTTTCCTTCCTGAATGTTTTAAGTAAAAAAATCAAATACTACTGTCATTGACCAGATCTGGGTCATTTGCCCAAGGGATCATCTCTGAAAACTGCATAAGCTGAAAGTTGTGCTTGAAGAATAAAAAGGTCCCTAAAGAAAATTTGTGTTTTTAATCAGTAAACAAAAGATGGTTAGGCAAAATTTTTTATTATAATCATTAATTTCAGATAATAAAAGAATACTTACAATAATACTTGGAAAACACCTCATTTTTTTAAGGTAAGACACTAAATGGTTAGCAAAATGTTTACTAGATGTCTATTTTAATAAACTTTTTAAACTTTAAATGATTTATTTGGGTGAATTTGCAAACATGGTTTGAATAATTTGAAGCAGTTGGTAAATAAGTGAGGCATTTACTGTGCCAGAGATCAGCAAGCAGGTCATTGGGCAGGCACATATTTTTGTAAGAGTTTTACTAGAATAAATCCATACCCATTCATTTTCATATTATCTATATTGTCTGTGGCTGCTTTTCTTCTCAAACAGCCAGGTTGAGTTAACTGTAATATGAACGGTTAACCAAATTGCACTTTTTAAAATTTAAAAATTTAGATGTTCATAAATTCATGAGCATATAATCAGATTTCTCTATATTGTTAACAAAAATGGAAAACAAATAGAAACCTCAGGTTACAACATAGAAATGGTTTATAATGAAGCTATTATATTTTCTGATGGTTTGCTTGCTTCAATTGTATTAGTTTAGCATGGAAAAGAAAATCTCCAAGGGAAAGCTACAGCCCCTCTGAACATGAGTATCTCATCCTTTGCCCCTGTGGCTAAGGCCTTCCCACCATTTTCTTGGTATCTTAGCCTTCCTTTTATGTGTTTTAGACCACAGTTTTCTCTGTGGTCTACTTATGTTTATTTTTATGTGTCCTTACTTGATACTGTCTTAAGCAATTTAGTAAGTGAATTTATTGAGTGGATGGATGGATACATAGGTTTTATGTATATAAATTTGCTTGCTTGTTTTAATTGAATACTTAACAATATTTTTAGGGGCCATAAGTATGGCTATAGTGGGCTGGCTACCTTCTGGGTATTTTTTGTTATAGCAGCAAATTATACTAAATGCCTGCTCTGGTAAGATTTGTCCTATAGTCAGAGATGAGACAAAGAGGGAAGGAAAGAAGAGGGAGGAGGAGAAGTAAGGAGAGAGGGGAGGAAGGAAGGTAGGAAGATATTGTGCTATGGGAGAAGGGGGATTAATATTAGCATTACACAGGGCTTAGTAATGAGTTTTCTTAGGAAAGGTGAACTTAAAAGAAAATCTAATGATAAAAAGCAATTTGCTTGGAAGGATGCTTGCTGGTAAAGAAATAGCCCAGGCAAAACCTAGAGGCAGAAGCTAGACTGTCTTTAAAGGGACACAAGTCAGATTGGTCTTGGAAGTCAGTGGAGGTCAGGTTAGAACTTACTGAGTGAAAAAGGAAAGAGTAAAGAAGGACATAGACACAGAAACACCTCATGATAAGAAGGCTGCTCTGAACAATACTAGTAGCTTTGTACTTAGTACAAATAATCTTCATCCATAAAAGTAGACTACAGTATCTCTAAACCAAAGATAGAAATGTCATTATTAAAGAACTGTAAATAGAAAAGGGAGTACTTTGGAAAATTTAGCATATTACCCAAACCATGTGCCATTTTCAAAAATATTTGAAGTTTTATATACCCTTCCACTCCCCCTCGCAAAAAAGAAAGCCCTCATTCTAAAAGATTTCCTAATTTTAATAATAGATTCCCTAATTCTTCAGTGCTCTGCCTTTGGCTTTGTTTTTTTGTTATTTCTTTTTGTTTTTGCTTCCTATTCAGGCTTGGAGAAAGTATAGCAGCAAACAATGCATATAGACAACAAGAAACAGAGCACATGCCCAGGAGAATGCCTTTGCAATCAGTAAATCACAGTTTTACAGGGTCGTTAAAGTGTATAACACCTCCCCTTTTGAAAGATGTTTCTGGAGTTAATATTGAGGAACTGATAGAGAAACTTCAGTCTGGAGTGATGGTGAGTGGTAACTAACAGTTACAGATGGGAGTATGGTTGGCACCTGACAGTTAATTATCTACTCAGATTGTATAACATTTTAGCACCTTTAGAAGGCAAATACAACTGAAATGTTACCTATAACAAGACAGTAATAGAATGGAAAATTTGGCAAGTGTAAGATAAGCCAATCATTACATCTGTCAGTTTTTAGCATGGCTACTATTGCTTTCTTAGTTTCCTTTCCTCTTGCCCTTCCAGCTTTGAAAAATTTTTAAGTGTATTATTTACATACCAAAACTTATCCAGATACTGTTCTGTAGTGGGAAGATTAGGGAAATAGGTGTTATCTACCAAATATAATATTCCTTTTGTTGTTGTGTATGTTTTGATGATTTAGTTTTGTTACAATTTTCTGATTATTTTATTAAAACCTAGGTAAGGGATCAGATTAAAGATATGAGAATATGTGATATAATGGATGTATATGAGATGAAGCTATCCACATTAGCTGTGAGTAAAAGCTTCTTTTAATTATGTTCAGTAAGCTTTAATAAATATTTTCTTAAAATTATGAAAATTAATTGTGTGTTTTCTTGTAGTCCAAAGAAAGCAGATTGCAAGATCTCTTGGAAGCAAAAGCTCTGGCTCTTGCACAGGCTGATAGACTGATTGCTCAGTATCGATGTCAAAGAACTCAAGCTGAGACAGAGGTAGGTACATGATAAATTTATGTCTGATTAGAAGAAAATTTAATAAATGACAAAAGTATAGACAATATTTATTTATCATTCTTAATTGTGCTAAATTGTCATCAGCAATTTGATACAACTGCTTCTACTTTTTTTTTTTTTTTTTTTTTTGCCAGTCCTGGGGCTTGAACTCAGGGCCTAGACTATGTCCCTGAGCTCCTTTTGCTCAAGGCTAACACTTTACCACTTGAGCCACAGCACCCCTTCTGGCTTTTTCTATTTATATAGTTCTTAAAAATCAAACCCAGGACTTCATGCATGCTAGGCAAGCACTCTACCACTAAGCCGCATTCCCAGCCTCAACTACTTCTACTTTTAAATTATCCTCTTTAATTTTTGTTATGTCATTGTCTTTTGGTTTTTTTTTTTGATATTTTATACCCTATGTTAATGGTCTTCGGGATTATATATTATATTATTATATATATTCTATTTGTTTATATATTTTGTTATTTCAACCATTACTAAAATACTAATGTTCCCATATTTATATGCACAAATCTTTTTTTTTTTTGGGGGGGGTCTGGTCGTGGGGCCTGAACTCTGGGCCTGGGCGCTGTCCCTCAGCTCTTCAGCTCAAGGCTAGCGCTCTACCACTTGAGCCACAGCGCTGCTTCCGGCTTTTTTCTTTTTGCTTATGTAGTGCTGAGGAATCGAATCCAGGGCCTCTGGCATGCAAGGCAAGCGCTCAACCACTGAGCCACCTTCCTAGCCCCTATATGCACAAATCTTTTTCCCTCACACTAAATGCTTTCCATAATAGCTGCAAAATATTTCAACCTCAGCATAACCAGTAGTGAACTAATCATTCTTCCTCTTTTTTAAAATGTCTTCCTAAGTATTTTTTACTATTCTTAGGATTTTCCAAATTAGAAACCTGGAACAAAAATTAGCTGTTATATATATTCATAAATAAATTCCACCTTTCATAAATTCTACCTTCTAAAAGTTTCCTCTTTCTAGTTTGCCCTTCCCATTGTTAGTAGCATGCATTTCTACATTTCCACAGCTGGACCTCCACCCAGACCTGAACTCCATCCTGCCCTTCACAAAGAAAAGAGAATGCTTCCTGGATAGGTCTGCACACTCTTCACCCAGATCTAGCTGCCCACACAGAATACCTCTTGCCTCTAGCCCTGATGTTTTAAGGATGCCCCTAAATAGGAACAGGTGCCATTTTTCTCTCTTCCATGAGGGAGGTGGCCTTGTCAGCCTTGACTGGCTATAAACTACTTTTCCTATAGGTGACTATCCATGTGTTCTTGTAGGATGGGTGATTTCAACCATTATTACTTTTTTATGCTATTGTAAAGATGCTGTACAGAAGGGTTACAGTTACATGAGTAAGGCAATGAGTACATTACTTGTCAATCATTGTTACCATTTCCCTTGTTGTTGTCCAATTCTCCCTTCCTCTCCCACCTCCCACACTCCTCCTCACTGACCCTCACCCCTACCCCAAGTTGTTAAAGTTCATTTCCAATATTCCAATATACTGTCCTGTGGGTCTCATTGTGGTAATGGGTCATCCTGTGTCCTTGTTTCACGGTTTTGTTATTCCTCTTCCCTTCTCCAGATTAGACAAATGTACAAGGTGCAAGGTACCAAAATCAAGTACAGTGACAACAGGGGATAAACCATAGGGGGAAGAACATACAAAGGAAACAAACAGGACTAGGAAGGTGGCTCAGTGGTAGAGCGCTTGCCTTGCATGCATGAGGCCCTGGGTTCGATTCCTCAGCACCACATAAGAAAAAAGAAAAAAGCCGGAAGTGGTGCTGTGGCTCAAGTGGTAGAGCGCTAGCGTTGAGCTGAAGAGCTGAGGGACAGCGCCCAGGCCCAGAGTTCAGGCCCCATGACCGGACCCAAAAAAAAAAAAAAACAACAAAGGAAACAAACAAACAAAATCATCTGGTACATTTAAAACAACAACAACAAAGACCAGACCTCTTGTGTCCATATCTTGGGGTTGATTTTACTTAGCATCAACTTATATGGTCATATGTACATAATGTTTGAGCTTTTCAGCTCATCTGATAAGATTATCCTATATGTATGTTATTGCAAATAAGGGAAACCATGAGGCCTAAATTTCTTTGGGCCTGGCTTACTTCATTTAATATGATTTTTTCCAAGTCTTTCCATTTCCTAACAAATGGGGCAGTGTCGTTCTTTCTGATGGAAGCATAGAATTCGTGTGTGTGTGTGTGTGTGTGTGTGTGTGTGTGTGTGTGTGTGTGTGTGTGTGTGTGTGTGTGTGTGTGTGTGTGTGTGTGTGTGTACCACATTTTCTTGATCCACTCATCTACTGAGGGGCATCTAGGTTGGTTCCATATCTTGCCTATGGTGATAGACATGGCTGTGCTGGTAGCTTTAGTAGGGCCATGTTTGTCTTCATTTGGTTATATGCCCAAAAGTGGGATTGCTGGATCATAGGGGAAGTCTATGTGTAGTCTTTCAACCATTATTTTTAATAGGTTACAGTCTTTTCCTTCTTTGTATCAATCTTGATAGAATCTCTAAATTATTCTTCTTACTTTTAGTCTAGTGCTCTCAACTACTTTACACATTTCTGCCAAAGGTAATTTAGTTCTATTCTTCCTCACTCCAACACCCAGGTGTCTCTGAGTCACTAATCATACTGTAGTAGTAGCTGCCTTTGCTCTCAGATGTCATTGATTTTTTTAAATTGTTATTGTGAAGGTGGTGTACAGAGGGGTTACAGTACTCAAGTAATGAGTACATTTTCTTTGACATATAAGGATTCTAACTAATTCACAGTCCACACCTACCATTTTTGCTTATTCATCACATTCAACCATGTTCAATCATATTTGTATTTTCTGAAACTTGCCATATTCTCCTTTCTCCTTGTCTTAGAACATTCTATGTCATGTCCAGAACATGTTTTCTTCTCTTTCTTTTCCTAATTCCTCATAGTCTTCAGATTTTAGTTTCAATACTACCATTTCCCAAAACCTACTGTGGTCTTCTCTTACCTACAAATGAGTTTGGCTATACTTTAGTAATCTTTCTTAAGCCATGTGAAAATCATAGCATTTTTAATACCTAGTTGTGATGCCAGAGATGTTTCTGTACCTCCACAAATACATGGTAGATGCTTGGCATATGATATGTGCTTGGTAAGTCTCACATTGTGCTGAGAACTTGCATATACATGATGTGCACTTTATGGGTAAGATATTACTTCAATAATTTGAATTCCCAGCATAAAATCTACCCAACATGATTTCATTTATAATTTATTATAATAAAGTTGTCTGGCTTTTGAAAGGCTTTGAAAGCAATAATAAAATATCTTTAAAATCTTTACAAAGTAAAGATATTTAAATAATGTTAAGATATACAACCATATTTTTTCTTTTTTTGGGGGGGGGGGTTCGGTCGTGGGGCCTGAACTCTGGGCCTGGGCGCTGTCCCTCAGCCCTTCAGCTCAAGGCTAGCGCTCTACCACTTAAGCCACAGCTCCACTTCCAGCTTTTTTCTTTTTGCTTATGTGGTGCTAAGGAATCGAACCCAGCGCCTCATGCATGCAAGGCAAGCGCTCTACCACTGAGCCACTTTCCCAACCCCCCATATTTTTTCTTTTATTGTTTAACATGACTCATTTTTTTTTTTATCTATTGCACCATAAATTTCAAGAAAGTTAGATTTTTAGAATTATTTGTTTTCTTCTCTCCTCAGAGTACACTGTAATGTTCTGTTATATGCATTGGACATGATAGACATTTTAATTGGAGAATATAATGGTTTTCCATGTTGCAGAAAAAATTTCTCAACAATAACACTAATAGATTTTTGTGTAATCCATGCTATAAAAAGAGTGATATTAGGTTTTTGTCTGACATTTCTTGTCACCAATTATAGATTATATTTCTTGGTTATGCTAGCTTGATTTTTAAGTGTTAAACATTTACGAGAGACTCTTATTCGTCAATCTTACCTGAAAGGAGAAGACTTGGGTATGCAAACTTATTAGTTTAGTATTAATGACCACCACCAAGGACTGTACCCTTTTAGTTAAATAGGACTACTTTATTTTGCAGTTTTGTTCATTTCCACTAATCTGGCCATCCTTAGGTTAACAATTTATTAAATTACAATTGTAGAGTTTAACATCCCTAATTGAAAATACATCAACATCTAAAACTTTTTGAGCTCTAACATGACACCACAAGTAAAAAGCTCTACATTATTAAACTTATTTTTATGCACAACATTGTTAGAAATATTGTATAAAACTACTTCTTTAACTCAGTAATACTGAATTGTTGAACATTTGCTAAATGTTTTAAATTGTGGAATATATTATAGCATTCTGAATATTCTATATTCTAATGCGATATTCTAGATAGTTTTATCATTCTGCAGGCATCATAGAATCTACAAAGTAATTACTTTTAATATAATTAATAATAATCTTAAGAGACCACCATCAGGTAGCAATCAGTTGTTTACCAAAATACTGTTATGTGGTGCATAGCTGTATATAAGTAATATTGGGAAAGCCCATGTGCTGTTTTCTTTTAAGGCACGAACACTTGCTGGTATGCTTAGAGATGTTGAGAGAAAAAATGAAGAACTTAGTGTATTACTGAAATCACAACAGCTTGAATCAGAAAGAGCACAGAGTGATATTGAACATCTCTTTCAACATAATAGAAAATTAGAGTCTGTAGCTGAAGAACATGAAATACTGACAAAATCATACATGGAACTTCTTCAGAGGTAAATAAAGTTATTTATAATCAACTGTGACCTGGTATGTAAACTCTTCAAGGAAGGATCTTTTTCTTTGTTGTAGAAACTTACAGATCCTTTTATTTATGCTAGTCCTGTGGCTTGAAATCGGGGTCTAGGCACCGTATGAATCTCTTTTGCTGAAGATTAGTGCTTTATCACTTGAGCCAGAGCTCCACTCTGCTTTTTTGGTGGTTAATTGGAGATAAGAGTCTCCTCACACAGTCTTTCCTGGCCAAGTTGGCTTCGAACCTTCATCTTCAGATTTAAGCCTCCTGACTAGAATTATGGGCATGAGCCTCTAGCTCCCAGCCTACAAATCCCTATTTTTATAAATTTTTATAAATGATAAATAATATGATGCATTAACTGTTAATTATTGTTGAATGAATTTGTCACAATTAGTCTTACATTAAACTATATAAACTGGTCATCTTTGCAAGTCAAACTTCTTAACATCAAGTCTAAAAGCACAGATATTTGGTATTAGTATTCAAATCCTCTCAATGTTATGAGATATAATTTATCATTATGACTTTATTTTGCTTGTTTGAAATTGTTCTAGAAACATGAAAAGACACATTGTGTTTATGAGATGATCACTTTTGAAGTAATTGTTCCACTATTTAACCATATAGGCAAAATAAAATAAAGAAGCAGAGAAATTTAGAATTATACATTTCTTTAAGAACAGTTGTGTATGCAGCATTGTGTGGTGCATTATAATTTGTAAACTAATGCTAGATGCCTGTCAATGAGACTGATATCAAACATTTCTACTTGACAATACTTTTTAATCCCAGCAGCCAGCCAAAACTTGGACTTTATTCTTCTTAAAGAACACTAATTTTCTTTTCTCTACGTTTTCGTCCATTAAATAATACCAGCTCATTTCTTTGTCCTTTTAGAAATGAAACTGCTGAGAAGAAAAAGGAAGACTTAGAGATTACCTGTGATTCTCTGAATAAACAAATTGAGACAGTGAAGAAGTTGAATGAATCACTCAAGCAACAAAATGAAAAGTAATATCTCTTAATTCTTTATTCTAATTATTTGGAGTTTAAAAACAGTTTTCTACACAGAATATTGTTCTTATTGATACAATTTATAAATTATCATTTATGTTAGAGAAAAATATTTATTTGGTAGGTTTTACAGGTAGTTATTATTATTATTTTATGGTAAAAAAAAATTTGTTTTTTTGTTTTTTTGGTTTTTTTTTTGGTCTGGTCGTGGCACCTGAACTCTGGGCCTGGGTGCTGTCCCTCAGCTCTTCAGCTCAAGGCAAGTGCTCTACCACTGAGCCACTTTCCCAGCTCCTATGGTAAAAAAATTTGTTAGGGGTCTGGGAAGATGGGTCAGTGTAGAGTGCTTGCTTTGCATGCATGAAGCCCTGGGATCAATTCCTCAGCAGAAAAAGCCGGAAGTGGCTCTGTGGCTCAAGTGGTAGAGCCCTAGCCTTGAGCTGAGGAGCTCAGGGACAGTGCCCAGGCCCAGAGTTCAGGCCCCACAACCGACCTTAAAAAAAAAAATGGTTAGGGACAAAAAGTCAGAAATGATATAATGATATGATTTGGTGATATTTTTTTCTTCTGTACTTCAGAACTATTGCTCAGTTGATAGAGAAAGAAGAACAGAGAAAAGAAGTCCAGAATCAATTAGTAGACAGAGAATGTAAATTAACAAGTAAGTAACCTTTGTTTGATATTGTCTATTTTTAGCATATATTATTTTAGAATAAAATCAAAACATGATTTATTTTAGTTTTTATTATTTTTATTTTTATTATTTTTAACTTTAAATTACTTCCTAAACAACTTCCTTTTTCATGCTATAACATTTCACAAGTACAATTTGAAAAAATTTTACTGAAAAAGAAATCCTCTTTTCTTTGACATCTGGGTGTTAATATAAAATAAAAAATACTTAAGGAACATAACAGTAGGTGGCAATGCTAAGTAACTTTTAGTTACTAGTTTTGCACACACGTGTGTGTGTGTGTGCATGCGCACACGTACACATCAATACTGGGCCTTGAACTTAAGGTCTTAAACTCTGCCACTTGAGTCACACTTCTAGTTCTATTTTTGCTGCTTAACTGAAGATAAGATTCTTCTGCTCTGACTGTCTCCAAATGTCAGTCCTCAAAACTCATCCTTAATAGCTAGGATTAAATGGGTGAGTCAATAGCACCTAGTGTATTTACTAGTTTCTTCATATGGTATCTGTGAAGTGATCCACAAAACACTTTTAGTTACAATTCATTTGCATTGCAGCACATTTATAATTTTTTTTATGTTTTTGGCTCTCCTCTTGTAATCCTTGTAACTTCTACAGATTGCCCTTCCTTTCTTTATGGTATATTACATTTTAAACAGAAAGTAGAGAAAGGTATCTATACACTGATGTCATAGGAGAAGAGTTTCATGGTGACTTTTGTTTAGCAAATTTTGAAAAACTTACATCCAGATAGTTATTTCTTCATTCTTATTGTCTTTGATTTTGCAGTAGCTATCTAACCTTTTCAGAGTACTATCAGTATGACTAATGACTACATAGTGACGATTTTTTGTTTTAAGATTTGTATCAAAAAGCAAAAGTACAAGAAGAAAATATTAAAGTCTTAGAAAAAGAAAATAACGATAAGAATGAAGCCATTGACATTCTTAGAAAAGAATTAAGCAGAACGGAACAGATAAAAAAAGAGTTGAGCATTAAGGTAAGACTTTAATTTCAATTTGCATTAAAACTTAAAAGTCTGTGAAAGGGTCAACTTGGATAGATTAATGTTTTTTCTTTAGTGAAAATATATAGATATATTTCTGCTTATAAGGGTGATAATAATTTTTCATATTTGTTTAGATATTTATAATTTGCAAAGAACTCTCTGAAATATTAAATATTTAAATTCTCCTTACATTACCAGATACTAATCCCTCCAGATGCTAATCCCTATATATGAATGCTCTAATTTACAAATGAAGAGATTGAGTCTGAGATTATGGTTAACAGTTTCAGTAATAAACACGTGTCTGGTATCTTGAGTCCAGTGCTCTTTCTATGTTGTTATTATTATTGCTTGGGTCATAGCTGTGATCTGTTTTCTGGCCCATTTACAAGCAGAGATGAGAACAGACTAGGATTAAAAGTTGAAATTTTACAGAACATTAGTAACAGAAGAGGCATAAAACTTAATGACACATAAATAGTTTCGGAGAGCCTACATTAATATGTTATCTTTTTAGTAATTCTGAATAGTATTATATATTGTTTTCTTCAAGTTTGTAGCTGTTAGCATTGATTTTTAAAGCATTGCCAATGTCTATTATTTATTACTTAAATTTATCATATAATTAATTTAGCTTTCTATACATATTTATGTATCTATAAAAATACATATGCTATTCTCTTTCTCCTAAATTTTTAATCTCTGATTTCTTAATTCCTTAGGCTTCCTCCCTAGAGGTACAGAAGGCCCAATTAGAAGGTCGTTTGGAAGAGAAAGAATCTTTGATGAAAGCCCAGCAAGAAGAGTTGAACAAACACTCTCACATGATAGCGATGATCCACAGTTTAAGTGGTGGAAAAATAAGTCCAGAAACTGTTAATCTGAGTATATAGACATTATGGCACTTTGGAATTTGTAATGTAATAACATTTTTGTAATATTTAAATAATAATAATTTATGTGGTGGAGAAGATGGTAAAGGGAGATGATTTTGTGGCTCCAAAATAGTCGGAATTATTATCTAATTTAGTAAAGATCCTAATTTGGTGTATGTCTTATTTTTTTCTTTTGAATATAGAGCTTTTTAAGTTTTACTTTCGGTCTTTGGCCTTTATTGCTTAAAGCTTTCCTTAGCTTATACATTAGGATATTACTCTTTAGAAACCATTATTGTCTCTCTAATATTCCCTTTCGTGTGTGTCTGATTTATTCTCACTTGAAACTATAATCATCACTTGATGACAAGGTTAAATTTTGATTAGCGCATCCTTAAGCAATTTTGTCATTTTTTAAACCTCTTAAAACGTCCTTACACAAACTAAGCAGCTGTAGTTTACCAGTCAGTATTATCTTATGCAGGCATCATTGTAAATGTGGAGTATCATTGGCCAAAACATTACATCAGGCACATAACTATAGTTCAATTATTTTTAATTGCATTACTTAGATCTTTTAAAATCTTTTTTTAATAACTTTTTTTTTATTGTAAAAATACTGTACAGAGGGGTTACAATCACATGAGCAAGGTAATGAGGACATTTCTTATCAAGCATTGTTGTCTCCTCCTTTGATTTCCCCTACCATCCCTTCCCTCCCCCACAATACAGTAATCCTAAAGATTAATAAATTGTAATTGCTATTAGTAAGAAGAGAGGTGCTATGATATTACTAAAGAAACTTCTCTAAAGTATTGTATCTCTGAATGTAAAATGATCTTTATTCATTTTAGATGAAGAGATATAAAGTTCCAAGTTTAAAAACCATAATTGGCAGGAAATAGTGTACAAAATTAATAAACAAGTAGTTAAATAATTGCATTATCTCATAACTTGTGGGATTATTCTTAAAATGCCTTTTTGTATTTTCTCTTTTTAAGATGTTACCACTTTCACTGAGTTCCAAAGGTAATTTACATTTCTACTCTTGCTACAGAAATGTGTTTGTTAATTGTAATATGCATTTATTTCTTAAATTGTTCTTAATTAGGGCATTTAATTTTGAAGTGTGTTAAATGTCCTTTTCATGTAAGAAAAGTTTTATATTTTGATATATCTTACTGCTCTATACTATTGCAGCCACTAATATACTTGATGCTTTCTCTACTTATCCCTATTTGATTTAGGTAAGTTTAGATTTACATTTATTGTACAAATTAAGCTTAAAAATATTTTTGTATTCCACTAAATACATTAAGTAATATAAAGCTATAATGGCTTTCTATGTACATTTTTTGCAATTCTTTAAACTATGCTGAGTAAAACATTTTAAGTTAACACTTGTTCTACAAGAATACATTTTATTTTTATTTGGAAATTCATACACATTTATTTTAATATAGAAAAACCTTCCCATGTATATATGCTACTTAAGAGCAGAAGGCTCTGTAAAATGAAAAAAAAAATGTAAAATGCTGAGTGATTAAACTGAAGACTCCAAGAAGGCCTAGGAATATGGTGTAAGTGGTAGAAGACCTATGTTTAAACCCAGATGCCACAAAAATAAGAGATAGATAAAAGGTTGAGGGAAAATGAAATTATTTTTTACAATTTAAGCATCCCTGGATAATGAACATTGCTCCATGCTGTTCTATAGAAATTCCTGTAATGATTGGACTGTTCTAGACCTATACTGCCTTATGTGGCTATTACGTGTCTGAATAGTAGCCTGTACAACCCCAAAACTAGATTTTTTATTTTATTTTATTGTAATTTTAATTTAATAGCCATCTAGTTGAAAATACATGTCTAGCCCTTTTTGCAAATGTACATTTATAGAACTTGCTAGCCTGCTCTCAAAAATCTGTATAGGCATATGAGGTAGGCCCATGTACTTTATTCATGATTTTGCTTTCTGTAGTTTGTTGCCATGGTCATCAAACATGGATTGAAAATAATATATGAAAAATTTCAGAAAAAACAATTTATAAGTTTTAAATTGCATGTAATCCTGAGAAGTGGAATACCACATCTGGACTTTAGTAAAGTCTTGTGAATTATGAAAATAGGACTGGGTGGTAGCTCAGGTAAATCCTCAGATAGACCCTGGCTTCAGTTGCCAGTACTGAAAAAAGAAAACCATTAACATTTATATCCTTCAGTTTGAATTTACTTTCCTCAAAGTAGTTATAAGGAAGTAGTTACATAATTTGTGCTTACATTCAAGGCTATTTTATAATTTGTAAATTAAGCAGAAACATAAAATTTTAAAATTGTAGGTTCTTTAGAAAATGGACATAACTTGAAAATCGTACACAATCTTATTCCTTCGTTTTATATATTGACTGCCTCTATTCAAAGACGCTGAAGTTTACTTCATTTATGCTTGTATTCATCTAAACATTTCCCAATATCCTGGAGAGAATTCTTGTTTTATAAAGCTCATTACATAAAGAGAAACATCTTCCCTCAACTGGATGTTATTAGTTATCTAATTCTCCCAATGACCCAGTGTTTCTATGTTCTTATGATATCAGAGGATGTATAGGTCTAGAACAGTCCAATCACTACAGGAATTTCTATAGAATAGCGTGGAGGAATGTTCAGTATCCAGGCAGGCTTAAATTGTAAAAAATAATTTCATTTTCCCTAGAACTTTTATCTCTATCTTTGTGGCCTTCCCCCTTTGAGTGACATTTTAAAAGCTAACAGAGAAGATTAAGTTTCAGCTTCGTTATGTTATTAAAAACTAATTTTCCAGTAAGTAGCTGAGCATTTGACAGTGATTCAGTAGTAAACATAGTCTACATTTCCACTATATTACCTTCACTGTTATTTTAAGAGTAATGATTCATTTTATTAATCTGGGGAAGGAAAAAATACAAGATATTAGAATATCTAGCCCTATCCATTTCTTAGACTTCAAATACAATGATGTATGATTAGCCCTAGGACAAACAACAGTGTTAGAGTTTAATTAAGCAGGATTGTCCCACAGTCAATTTTAGCTAGTAAGTTGTAGAATACCCAGTTAATCCTGTTAAGGCTAGAAGTATTCTGACAGAACCATGAACCAAGGGCCTTATGTTAGAAAAAGATATTTAAAAAGGATTTTGTCACATTTCATCTGGAGTGGCCAAATGACTGAAGCTAAGAGGTTGATAAGGGATAGTTTTTAAGCATGGTTGCCTGATGCCCCAACTTCTTTTATTTTTGAACTGGACAGAAACTCGCATCTCACCCTTGCCTTTCTCTGGCCCAGGGTAGGTGAGAACTGAATAAAGGAAAAGCAATGAGTCCCTTCCAAAATTTCCATTTAGGTTTTTCATACAAAAAAGGGATTCAAACTTGCAGAGTATCTACTCCTGACTGGCCAGTGTCAGGTCCCCAGTGAGCTCAACATGATGAAAACCCCATCTTGTTCTCCTATCTGAAAGCAGAACTCTGACTCCAGAATCTTGACAGGCTGCTAGAGATGAAACAATTCCTAGGTTTAGAGGCAGAGAGATAGGTGGAGAACCAAGTAGTTCTTCAAGCATAAAAATAATAATAAATAAAAATAAAATCCCTCTTATTCTATAACAGGAATCTTATAACAGGGACAATAAATTTCTGACTTGAGAACTTTATCCTCTTGTTTAAAGAAGACAAATAGAAGTTTTACATAGTGTATATACTTCACAGCTGTAAAATCAAGAATCTCTGATTTACATGAGTTAAAATTAGAAAGTACTTGACATAAATTCACTTTATTAATGAAATAAAGTGTTTCCTGGAGAGTTAGTTTATCGAAGCACCACTGCATAAGAGTCTAGCTTTATTGGGTCATTTTGTACACTAGTGTTAAGTTTCAGTCATGAGGGAAGATGTCTTGCTGAATTACAGACCCATGAGTTTTGAGATGTTGGAATTATGAGTAGTTCAGAACTAGATTTATCCTTACTCTTCTTAGTTACTAATAGACATCTTCAAGGAGTAATATTGAAAGAGGCTTGCTTGCCTAAATTAGACCCTTAATTCTAATTACAAACTATTTTAATAGCTCAAAATTAGACAGACATGATCTACTTTAAAAAGTATTTTTAATTTACAGCTGACATTGATGAAATTTATTTTCAAATTCATCTTTAAGGTCTAGAAAAACCCATAATAACCCACATTCATTATAAGCCATACCACCTGTTTCTCTCCATCTTTACTTATTAAAAATAGAATTTATTACATTCATTTTTAGTATATAACCTTCTTGAAAATATGCTAGCCATGAGAGTGTTTTAAAAGCTATTCCTTAAACCAAGCCACACATTGAAAACTACCCAACATTAATCTTTCAAGGTGAAAAGAGTTTCCCTTCCCCCAGTAAATTATTTTGTTGACCATTTTCCAGGTCAGAAAGATGCATTCCAGTTGTTCAGGTGATCAGGCATGGCGAGTAAATGATTGATGAATCTGAGCAGTGGATTGGTGTGTGCATTGGTGCTGTTTATTAATATTAGGTTGATAATTTTCCAAGCAAGTAGGCATCATCTGTTAAGACATCTGTACCTGCCTGGCTATAGCAGAAAATGATAATAGGGAAGTGTTTCTATTGGAAGAGGGACATTAGAAATAAGCTCTAGGGGGGAAAAAAGGTATCAAAAGTGACTCCATTTATCTCTTTAGAGTAGTACTATCAGTTTTCGTAAAAAGTTACATTTTCTTTAAAAATCACTAGACTCAAAATAGCTAGGGCTGAGAAGTTAGCTCAATGGTAGAGTGCTTGCCTCGCATGCATGAGGTCCTGGGTTTGATTCCTCAGCACCACATAAGCAGTAAAGAGCTGAAAGTGGTGCCGTGGCTCAAGTGGTAGAGTGCTAGACCTGAGCTGAAGAGCTGAGGGACAGTGCCCAGGCCCACAGTTCAGGCCCCATGACCGAAAAAAAAAAATTTTTTTTTCAGCTAATTATTTGGAAGCAACACAATATAAATTTTATGCAGTTTCTATTTCCTCAATTTTTAGCTAGGTGCAAGATTCCCTAGAATTGAGAGTGTTTCTGTTGGCCAGGGTGACAAACATCCATTGAAGCTACACCATTAAGTTATCATAAATGCAATATAAATGCAAATTATGAAAATTTTCTGGGGGAAAATACTGTTAAACGAGGCATGGTTCCTTTTACCTTTCTCTGTTCCTGATTGTGCATGAACATGGCTGGCTAAGAGAATTTGAATCATGACTTCATCTAGAGAATGGGATGCCATGAATGGCAGATGATCAGATAGACGACACCTGATCCTTTATACCAGGATATACATAAAAGCCCTGGATTTGCTCCTTCCAGACCTCATAAAAATAAAGTTCTGTACTATTTAAGTCATTGTTATTTTGGATTTTTCAGTTCTTAACTTGTCCATTTGAAAATAGCAAATTTGTTGTTGATCCCCTTGGCAACTAATACTGGAACTATCAAGAAATATTGACTAAGTATAATATATAATCCTCCAAAACCTAACGAAAAAAATTCAGTTATAAAAAGAAAAGAGATATAATTAGCTATAACAAGATATAAAGCAAATGTTACCATAAATATGGGAGATAAATGGTAAGTTAATACTAATGATAGACATGGAATTGGTATGTAAATATACAAAGAATAATTACATTTGAAGAAAAAACCAAATATCCTTATAGTAAAGCAAACAGGCAATTCAGACAACTCAGATTAAGAACCAATATAAACAGCTGATAAACATTTGAACA